ATGAGGAGAAGAAACTTCAGTGATCCTGCCCCCATCCTCTGCCGGCTTCTGGTGGGGCAGTAGCAGTGCCTATGGCTCAAGGAAGCCTCGGGCTCTGAGCTGAAGATGAAAGGGCAACAGGAAGGTGGCTGGAGCCACAGTGACACCCTGCCCCACTCATGGGTCTGCAGAGTCAGGTGATGTGAAAGCCACAGTCGCCGTGTTGAGTTTCATCCTCTCCAGTGCAGCCAAGCATAGTGTGGATGGCGAGTCCTTGTCCAGTGAACTGCAGCAGCTGGGGCTGCCCAAAGGTACAGGATGGGGATGGGCAGGTGGTTAGCTTGTGGGCGAGGGCTGCTAAAGAGCAGGCCAGGCTATGTGACCCTGGGGTGTGCCTGCCCATTCTGGGTTTGGAGCCCGAAACCTGCCCTCTGGGTGGTCCCATCCATAGCCCCACCTGCCACCTCAGCCAACTGCCATCTGCCCCTAGAGCATGCAGCCAGCCTGTGCCGCTGTTACGAGGAGAAGCAGAGTCCCTTGCAGGAGCACCTACGGGCCTGTAGCTTGCGTGGTGAGTATGGGGCCCAGCAGGGTAGGTGCCAGGCTCCACTCTGGAAGGTGCATGCAGTGTGCTGAGTGCCAGTTCTGAGGCCTCAGCACATGGAGCAGGTACAGAGCTGGGACCTGGCCCTAGATCTCTAGACTGCAGTCTAGAAGTTTTTATTTTCTTTGAGGCTTGTGGTGAATATTTGAATTCTTAATGACTGAGTACCTGCCCTGTACCAAGCCTGGGTCAAAGGGCAAGAGCTTGAGAGACCACACAGCCTTGAGGTATTACAGGCCAAACCAGGATGTGGACCGCAGGCTGCCTGGCTCGCCTGCCTGAGAGATGCCCTATCCTGTTTCACAGTGAACAGGCTGGCAGGAGTGGGCTGGAGGGTGGACTATACTCTCAGCTCCAGCCTGCTGCGCTCTGTGGAAGAGCCCATGGTGCACCTGCGACTGGAGGTGGCACCTGCCCCAGGTGCCTCAGCTCAGCCTGTGGTCATGTCCCTCTCAGCAGACAAGTTCCAGGTTCTCCTGGCAGGTGAGGTTCAGCTGCCCCTGGAGGGGGGAGGGGGGAGGGGGGAGGGACCCTCCCAGGGACCCTCCCAGACCTCATTTGACTGCTTCCCTCCTGTCCATTTCTTGCCCCTGCAGAACTGAAGCAGGCCCAGAGCCTGATGAGCTCCTTGGGCTGAGAAGGGTGCTCCTGACCTGTGCAGAGCTGCCCTTTGTGTGTCGAGTTGCTGCCTTCTAAAACTCTTCTGGGCCTGGCCCCAATTCTAGGATGCTGGGGGTCCCTGGCCTGGTCTCCTGGCTTCCCCCTTGAGACTTCAGCATTGGGCTTCTGAGGAACTGCTCTAGCATTTCCTCTCCTTGAAAGGCACTTTCAGGTGCTTTTGTGAGCAGGAAAAATAAACAGGAATGTAAAGGAGTGTATGTGAGGTTTTTTTTTTTTTTTCCTCCTTCTTCTTCTTTTTTCTTTTTTCTAATTAAGGGTTTTTGTGAAAGAAACCAAGTGACATTCTGACCTGGCCCATCACTCGTTTTCTCATTGCTGACTGAAGCCCCAAATGAACAGTGTGTCCATAGATAGGAGTGTCTGTAGATAGGGTGCTGGCTCCTAGACTTGTGATGCTCTTGGCTCTGTCGTCTCTGCACTGGTCTTGTCCTCAGGTTGGTAGCAAGTGAGTGGCCCAGATGCCAAATGCCCTGTGTCTGCCCTCTTCTATAGAAAGAGAGAAGAACCCAGGCCTGAACCATTCAGTGGCAATAGGAAGGTTGTTACAGACTGAGTGGTGATGTCCCTACAGTTTGAATGTGGAAGGCATGCTCTCCATGTGTGTGCACTGAGAAGGGCTCTGTGAGCGCAGGGAAGAAGGTGGCTGTCCACAAGGCAGGAAACAGGCTCTCATTGGGAAATGAATCTGCTAGCACCTTGATCACGGACTTCCCAGCCTCCAGAACTGTGAGAAATAAATTTAAACTACCCAGTTGCTGGACTTCCGTTCTAGCAGCTAGAGCTAAGTCGTCTGGTCTCAGGATTGGCTTAGGCTAACCAGAGCTCCTTTTGGAAAGACTGATGCCAGGGTGGGGCAGGGAGAGTCCAAGAAGAAGATCTCTAGAACTCTACTCATCTTACATAACTGAAACTATATACCTATTGAATAGCAACTTCCCCTCTTCTGTGCCCTCATTCTGATAACCCATCATTCTCCTTTCTGCTTTAATCTTTGTTGTTTAGACACCTCAAATAGACATGCAGTATTAGTTCTCTGTGACTAACTCATATCACTTAGCATAATGTCCTGAAGGTTATCTATGTTGTTGTCTATGGCAGGATTCCCTTTTTTAAAGTTGGGATACTACTCCACTGTGTGTATATGCCACATTTTTTAAAAATCAATTTATCTGCAGATGGACCTTTAGGTTGTTTCCATGTCTTATCTATTGAGAGTCATTCTGTGATGTATATTATATCCTGATTGTGGCTATAGTTGCACAACTGTATGCATTTGTCAAAACTCACACTGAAAAGGGAATTGTAGTGTATATAAATTACATCTTAATTGAAACAAATGAGAGAACAAAAAATCAAAGCACACCATAGGTTGCTTTAGTGATCACAAGGTATGAAACACTTTTCATAATGCTGAAGTCTAGCTGGGTGTGGTGGCACACCACAAGTTGCCTGTAATCCCAGCAACTTGGGAGGGTTGTGAATTCAAAGCCAGCCTCTGCAATTTAGTGAAGCCCTAAGTAACTCAGACCCTGTTTATTTATATATATATATATGAATGGAGCTGGAGATGTGGTTCAGTGGTTAAGCACCCCTGGGTTCAATTCCTGGTACCAAACAACAACCAAGAAATGCGGAAGTCTGACTGTCACAGCCTCCCCCATGATCAATTTGATCCTCACTAAAGTGGCATAACCCAGTATTTTGTACATCCTGATGTGATGCAATTTGGAGTATACAGCAGCACCTAAGAGGTAACCCTGAATGTGTATGATCCAGCATAGAGCCTTCATTCCATCATGCAGAAAAAACTCCAGATAGTGGAACAAGTTAATGACACTCTGAGAAACATTCAGAGAAATCCTGAATGAATGTGACTCACATGTCCAAGGAACAACTTGAACTCTCATAAAGGTCAGTATCAAGATTAAAAAAAATAATAATAATAAAAGGAAGGATAAGGGGATGAGGTGGGTAGGATGGGAAAAACAAACCAACTATATATCTGGTCATGGTGTCCCTAAGCAATTTAGCAAGACCCTGTCACAAAAAATAAAAAGGCTGAAGATGTGGCTCAGTGGTTAAGCACCACTGGGTTCAATCCCAGGCAAACCCCTCCCCCGCCAAAAAATAGTGTTTGGGGGACAATTAGGGAGATTTACATGTGAACTAGGTATTAGATGACATTAAAAAGCAGTTATTGGGGCTGGGGATGTGGCTCAACTGGTAGCGCACTCACCTGGCATGCGTGAGGCACTGGGTTCGATTCTCAGCACCACATTAAAAAAATAAAGATATTGTGTCCACCTAAAACTAAAAAATAAATATTTTTTTTTAAAAAGAAGCAGTTATTAACTTTTTTATATGATAAAGGTATTGGCCTTGTAAGGAAATTGCTTTTTAGAGGTGGATGCTGAAGCATTGGGGATGAAATGTCATGATTTGTCTACTTTAAAAGGCTTCTGGCCAATAGAAGTGAATAAATAGATGAGGGGGCAGAGTAATATGATGAAGGGCATGTCATGGGTAGGGGCAGGCACCAGTGCCTGCTACAAAATGCAACTTAGAGAGGCCTCCCAAGGTCCAATAGAGCCCTCTGTCCTCCCCATCTAGCACTACCTCCAGCTACACTGCAGCTACACAGCACTTTTCCAGGTTCTTTCAACCCATCTGGGAGACTTTGCAGGTTCCTTCCTGCCTGGCATACTATCTTCTTCACACTTTTTGTGCCCAAGGCTGTGACAGCCAGACTTTAGCGTTGTGAATCCGACTAGCCTAAATGTCTCTGCAAAGCAACCCTCCCCCACGGGAGTCAGAACTATCCGAAGTGGGTTCAACTTCTGGGCATCTGGTTTTTGTTGCTTCACTGCCCTTTCCGCCCAGCAGGCAGTGACGATGTTTTTGTTTGTGTTATGATGGACAGTGTGTTCAGTGACACTTAAAGCCACACTGGGTCCCCAGGGCCTACGTTTATGGTGCACCTGTGCATCCCTGCGGACAGCTGCAGGTGGCTTTGCATTGGGACGTCACTGTTTCCTGCTGGGGGTGCTGATTCTGCTCGGGACTAGCGGACCACTTCCCCCAGCTGCACACACCGTTGCAACTCAGGACCCCAGATTTGACCCCATTTCCTGCTGGCGTCGGGCAGAGGGAAGACAGGTTTTTCCTCCATCACCCTGCCAGGTTACTGTCTCTAAGGTTATCCCACATCCAGGAATCCCCCAGCTTGAGGGGGACCCATCTCAGTCGGTGCGGTCTCCTGAGGAACTACACTTCCCAGCAAGCGCCAGCGGGGCAACCACGACTCCCAGAGTTCCTTTAGGCTCTGGCATTAACCCCTCGGTGACTGCACAGTGCCTGCGATCCGCACTGAGCGCAGGTATTCCGGGAAGCGCGGGTGATGTGGCAGTGCGCCGCGGAGCTGAGGATCCAATGGGATGGGATGGGATGGGATGGGATTTGGAAACTTGGAGAAGGAAGGAAGCCAGAGTTAGCGGAGGACTGGGTCGCAGTGGGGGCGGGACAGGGGAGGGCCATAGAGTGCCGCCTCTTCGAAAACCTGGAAATCTGAAGGTTTACCAGACCCCGGCGGTGCTGAGGTGGGGGAGGGCGAAGTAAAGGCGTTTGTCCTGGTTAAATGTCCCCCAGCTACCCGACACACACCTTCGCCTCCAATCCCAAAAAGTCCTGGCATCAGACGAAAGTGGCAAAGAGACTGGGCAAAAGTGAAGAAGTAAGTTAAACGTCCCTTGGGACCGAGGCGCCTACCCGGCATCTCCATTTCCCCGGAGGCCAGGGCCGAGAGCTCGGGCAGCTCTTCCTGGAGTCCCCACCTCCCCTTCGGGTGTATGAGAACCTGGCTCCGGCACAGACGAACCATTCCCTCGTCCTGGTCCTGGATCCCTCTCTGATCAGGCGAGCCCGTCACAGTCCTGGCCGGCTGGTAGCTAACAGCCGTCCCAGTGTGGGTATGCAGCCCCCTGAGTCCCATCCGGCTTGGGCACGTTCCCTCCGTGGGTGCTGGGCAGATGCAGGGCCATCTAAACGGTGGGGTGATGAGTAAGCAGAGCTTACTTTCTGGGTTGCCATGGCAGGTAGAGGCGTGGAGACACGGTGAGATTCTTTCAGACTGTGGAAGGCCGCAAGAAAAAAGACAAGGTAGGGGGGAGGGAGATACTATCTCTGGGGCATTGGAGAGGACTTCCCTTAAGTGTCCCAATGGAAGAGACTGCTGGGAAAAAGGCCTGGAGATGAGAAGAGCAGTGTGCTTGGAGCAAGTGTGTGTGGGGTGTGTGTGTGGGGGGGTGGGGGCATACGATGCAGGCACCAGCAGGGGTTGGGACCTAATTCTGAAAGCAGCGGAGGAAGCTGGGCCAAGTGGCTCAGGGCTGTTATCCCAGCGGTTTGGAAGGCTGAGGCAGAAGGATCATGAGTTTAAAGCCAGCCTCAGCAATCCGAGGCACTTAGCAACTCAGTGAGACCCTGTCTCTAAATAAAATATAAAATAGGGCTTGGGATATGGCTGAGTGGTTGAGTGCAATCCCTAGTACCAAAGCGGGGTGGGGGAAGCAACCAGCAAATGGAAGGAAGACATTAATGTCCTGCTGCTTCCCCAGCAGAAGACAAGAGTCCTGCTGCTTCCCCCAGCCTGAGCTCCCAGTTCCCTGACTGTCCAGTACTTTGGGGATGGGGCCTTTAGCCAGGCCAGCAGTTTCCTGCCAGTCCCAGATGGCCATGTCACTCAGTCCTTTGTAAATCACAGGTGATAATTCCTACCTCATAAGGTGCCACCTTTCCCAACTTGTGGCCCTCCTTCCCCTTACAGGGCACAGCCACTCCCACAGAATGCCAGAGGGCCCTGAGCTGCATCTGGCCAGTCACTTTGTGAATGAAGCATGCAGAGGGCTGGTGTTTGGTGGGTGTGTGGAGAAGTCTTCTGTCAGCCGCAACCCTGAGGTGCCCTTTGAGAGCAGTGCCTATCATATCTCCGCCTCAGCCCGGGGCAAAGAGCTGCGCCTGACACTGAGTCCCCTGCCTGGGGCCCAGCCCCCACAGGAGCCGCTGGCCCTCATCTTCCGCTTTGGCATGTCTGGCTCCTTCCAGTTGGCACCTGCTGATGCACTGCCACCCCATGCCCATCTGCGCTTTTACACAGCTCCACCTGCTCCGCGGCTGGCTCTGTGCTTCGTGGACATCCGCCGATTTGGCCACTGGGACCCTGGGGGCAAGTGGCAGCCAGGTCGTGGGCCCTGTGTCTTGCTGGAATATGAACAGTTCAGGTAGGACAGCCCCAGGTGTAATGAACAGGCGTAGGTCCAGGCCTGGCTCTGGGTAAGTGCCTTGTTGGCCAACAGGGTGTGGGTCTCAGCCCTCAAAGAGTTCCCTCAGATGTGGTCCAAGACAGTGTCCACGTCCTGTCCCTTAGCTCCCTGAGTCAACGGATATGAAAACCTAAGACAGATGTGTGAGGTGAAGGAAGCCCAGAGGTGGATGGTTGGGTGCTGGCTGATGATTGGCTCACAGCGGCCCCAGCTAGATGTTGCTGGAACTTTGCTGGGGCTGGAAGTTTGCTGGGGCCCCTTTGGCTGTGGCTCTCAACAATCTTTGAATCAAATATTTTTTACTATACTATGTTTCAGAGTTGATCATTCTAAGTTAGTTTTTCCTAGGTAACTATTTTGTTTGTCGTGTGTGGTTCTAAAAATAAAGTTAGTTTCTTTTGACAAGTGGCTCCTGATTGTGCCCAGCCAGTTGGGCACTGCTCTGAGGACATAGAGCCAGTTACCATTGGAGCTGGAGCTCACGCTCAGAATTCCACTCTGCTCCTTGGTGCTCCTAGGAGGCTAGGAAAGGTGGAGGGTTTTGGCAACACAGTAGAGGTGAAGCTACATAGGTGTTTCAGGGGATGTGAAAGCGACCACCTAATGATAATAGTTTCTAAGTCAGGTTTTATTGCCCTACCACATTCTGCACTGTGTCCTGTGGTCTCCTCTATGACTAACCGTTGCCTATAGGAAAAGTAATAATTCATTTGGGATGTGATTCACCGGTCAAAGATAACATGGTGTCAGCCATGTCCTTCCCTCTAAAGAGGAAATTATGTATGAGTCTCTGTCTCTGTTTTGTGCGAGGCTTTATTTTAGGTTGGGGTTCAGGAGTGAACAAGAACGTGGCCCCTGCTCCCACGGCCCTAATGTTCCGGTAGGATGAGGGAACCAGGAAATACAAGATGAGTTCAAATAGACACATGCCTCAGGAAAAATCCAACAGGTGAAGGAAAAAAAGAGTGACTCTGAGGGTGGGGGAGTGCCTTGGGAATGACTACTCCAGGAAGGTGATATTTGAGCTAAGGCCTGACAGAACTGAACCAGCCATGTAACGCTGTGGAGGAAAGCATTCTAACTGGCAAAAATCACTGAGGCAAAGACCTGAAGTGCACTTGGCAAGTTCTCCCTCCTAGAGGGAACTTGTGTCTGCAGTTGTCACTTAGACTTGATCACTGCTGGCACTCCTCACCTTCCTGGGCATGAAACTGGTGCCTTTCCTTCCACTTCCCCTTTCCTAGGGAGTCAGGCCACAGGTTTTCTGCCAGCTGACACTGGAGTTTCTCATGATGAGCATTGAGGCTGTTTTCTTGGTCCTCCTACTGGGGAGCCTGTGGGGATCTAAGCCCCACCCAGCAAGTCTTCCACCCTTACCTTAACCCCAGCATTGCCATGCTTTCCTTGTACCCATCACCCAGTCATTCTTCCTTGATCTTTTTCTTTTTTAATTTATTTCTTACATTCATGACAATAGTGGAGTGCATTACATTCATAATTATCCATTCACAGCACATTTTTTTGTAACTCTGTATATAAAGTATGTTCATGCCAAATTATGCATTATACATGAACTCTTTTTTTTGCATGAAATTCTTTTTTATTTTTTAGCTGTAGTTGGACACGATATCTTTATTTTATTTATTTTATGTGGTGCTGAGGATCGAACCCAGGGCCTCGCAGGTGCTAGGTGAGCGCTCTACCGCTGAGCCACAATCCTAGCCCCACATACAATTCTTAATACACCTTTATACCACTATTTATCATATTTCTGTTTGTATATAAGGTATGTTGACACCAAATTCACATCTTCATACATGTATTTTGTATAATGATGACCGTCTCCTTCTACCATCCTAGCTATTCTCCTTCTCTCTCCCCTTCCCTCCCTTCCATTCCCTATCTAGAGGTAATTTTCCTCCCATGCTCTCTCTCCCTACCCCACTTTGAGTCACCCCCCTTATATCAGAGAAAACATTGGGCATTTCTTTTTTTGGGATTGGCTAACTTCACTTAGCATAATCTGCTCTAATGCCATCCATTTCCCTGCAAATGCCATGATCTTATTCTTTTTTAGTGCTGAGTAATATTCCATTGTGTATAAATGCCACTTTTTTTGTTTTTTTATCCATTCATCCATTGAAGGATATCTAGGTTGGCGCCACAGTTTAGCTATTGTGAATTGTGCTGCTATAAACGTTGATGTGGCTGTGTCCCCGTAGTATGCTGTTTTTAGGTCCTTTGGGTATAGTCCAATAAGAGGAATAGCTGGGTCAAATGGTGGTTCCATTCCCAGCTTTCCTCTTCCTTGATCTTTTTCCACAAAGAAATAAGATGCATTTCTTCATCATGAATGAGGAGAACCCTGACAGTTGGAGGTGGGCTGCTAGGTGCTTAGTAGCCAGGGGTTGCTCTCAAATGCCTTCTGCACATAGCCAGGCAATCTTTAGGGTCCTGAGATGAGTGGAACCAACCAATGTCAAATCCACATATGGTCTCTAACCAACCATGAATCCTAGACGATGTGTTGCAGACTGCAGACATACCTGAGGTTCTGTGATGACCTTGTGCTGAAAATTGTCCCGAGTCATCTAAGGAATTTTGGTGATAAACACACAACCATATATAGATGCATGTCCCTTGAACATATTGCCTTTTATGTTTTTTGTGTGTCTGTCTGTGGTGGTATTGGGGATTTAATCCAGGGGTAATCTACCATACAGCTATATCCCAGTGCTTTTTTATGTTGAGACAGGTTCTAAGTTGCTGAGGCTGCTCTTGAACTTGCAATTCTCCTGCCTCAGCCACTAAGTTGCTGGAATTACAGGTGTGTGCCACTGCGCCTAGCTTGAACACATGCTTTTAATTGGTATTTTTCACCTTTCATAATAAATTTAAATCCATATTGTTCCATTTAATAGATTGGAAAACTTAGGCTCCAGATGCCTACATAGCACTGAGGGGAGCTGGGACACCCAGTCTTCTTGTACTCAGGAACAGGTTCTCTCAAGCCCTTTCCCCTACCCCAGGGGTTTGGGGATGGGTTTTATGCATCAGGCTGTACCCCTCCAGGGAGAATGTGCTACGAAACCTATCAGACAAGGCCTTTGACCGGCCCATCTGCGAGGCCCTCCTGGACCAGAGGTTCTTCAATGGCATTGGCAACTATCTGCGGGCAGAGATCCTGTACCGGTCAGCAGGCAGGCCAAGGGCATGAGGGCTTCAGGGGTAGGTGTGCTGATACTAATGCTTAACATGGTCTCCTCCCCCACACCACTCCAGGCTGAGGATCCCTCCCTTTGAGAAGGCCCGCACTGTGCTAGAGGCCCTGCAGCACCACCGGCCGGTGAGGGTGCCAAGAGGGAGGGGTGATGCATGAGCATGCATGTCAGTACCTTATGTTGGCATAGGTGGCAAGGGCATGGGTATCTCCTGCTTAGCTCAACAATGTGTTTGTGGGGGGAGGAATGAGCTGCCTCAGAGTTTTGGCCAAGCGCAGAGAAGAAGTCTGTTGCCTTCAGAGTGGCCCTGCCCCATGCTGACAGCTAGGTCCTCCTTGCCCCTTCTTCAGAGTCCAGAGATGACCCTGAGCCAGAAGATCAGAGCCAAGCTGCAAAACCCAGACCTGCTGGAACTGTGCCATTCAGTGCCAAAGGAAGTTGTTCAGCTGGGTGAGACCTGGGGAGGCCAAGATGGCCAGTGACCTCTGCTTCGGCATACTGTGTAACCCTGGGGCAGTTCTCTTTGAGACCCGGTTCCTCAACTGGAGGAGGGAGTTCATGAACCTGGTTATGACTAAAAAGACTAAGCCTCCTCTTGGCAAGTGTCTGTTCCCCCAAGCCACCCATGTAATGGACAGGGCAAAGATTCTTAACCCTACTCCAGGGTGGGGAAGCCATGACTCAGAATCACACAATAAAGGTGGGAGGAGAGGGGCTGGGGATGTGGCTCAAGTGGTAGCGTGCTCGCCTGGCATGCGTGCGGCCCGGGTTCGATCCTCAGCACCACATAAAAACAAAGATGTTGTGTCCGCCAAAAACTAATATGTAAATAAAATATTTTTTAAAAAAAAAAAGGTGGGAGGAGAGGGAGCTTGGCTCCCTGGCTCAGTCCATCAGCTTGTGCAGCTGAGGTCTGGGCTAAGTTGAACCAGGCTCCCCACTTCTCCTCAACCTGTGTCTGCCCTCTGACCTCCGCTGGTTCCTCTGTCCCATAGGGGGCAAAGGCTACGGGCCGGAGCACGGGGAGGAAGACTTTGCTGCCTTTCGAGCCTGGCTGAGGTGCTATGGCATGCCAGGCATGAGTTCCCTACGGGATCGGCATGGCCGTACCATCTGGTTCCAGGTTTGGGCTCTATGGCTGGCATAAGGGAAGCCTGTGGGGTGGAAGGCAAAACAGGGCAGGAATTGGGGGTCTTTCCCAGGTGGAGATACCTAGGACCTGTGGAGGCTTCTCAGGGGTCACCGTTCCTGACACCCAGGGTCCTAGCCAGTGGAGCAGTGCAAGAGCAGGACAGCTTTGTTGATATGAACTAAATTTGGGGGAGGTTTTTACTAGGTGGGGAGCTATATTAATCTGAACAGATGTGTTTCACCTCTCCAAGGAAAACTGCTCCTACCCTAACCCAGATTGATTCAGAATTGCCCTTGTACCATTTTAGGGTGATCCTGGACCTCTGGCACCCAAAGGTAAGCAACTCCTCATGTAATAGGCTAATAGAGCTATAAAGAACTTGCTTGCAAGGGCTCTAGCACCTTTCCTCATCCCATCCCTCTCAAACCCCTGGAGTAATCCCACAGAGTGGGAGTCTAGAGAAAGGGGCTGAGGCCATAGGATCCTCCAGCTCCAGTCTCATGTCCTACAGGGGGCAAATCCCGAAAAAAGAAATCCCAGGAAACACAGCTTCAGCCCAAGGAAAAATTGGAGGTATGGTTGCCAGCTCCTCCTTCTTCCCCTGCACTCTCTCCTGCCCTGGCCATGCCTCTCAGGCCAGGCTCTGGCCATATAGGCTCTGGATGAAGTTGGGTGGGTTGGGGTCAATGGTGAATCCCAACTAACCTCAGAACTGCTCTGAGGAAAGCCCGCCATGGATTCTCAGGGATACGTGTCTCTGCCTAGGACCTTCCACCTCCAAACAAGGCCCCTTCCAGAACACCAAGGGCTAGGAGACACCTTCCCAAGAAGACTGCAATACAGCAGCCTGAGGGGACCAGCCTCCAACAGGACTTGAAAGCTCCCACAGTCCCTGAGAAAGGGAGGAGGAAGGGGAAACAGGCAACCACAGGTGGACTTTCTTCAGCATCCTCTGGGGAGGGAAGGGGGCCCCTAGAAAGTGTCTCTTCAGGATCCAATGGGATGGCAATGCAGGACTATGCAAACAGAGATGGACGCCACTGGGACCAGCCTGGCCTGCTGGTCTGAGCCAACTGTTTCATCTGTTCTCCCCGCAGAGCGCCGTGGACCCTGGAAAAATAAGGCTGACAATCCATCTAAGGGATCTGGGAGAACCTCAGCCTCTTAGCAAGAGACTTGTGTTGCTTGTATCACCCTTTCCTTGCCAATAATCTGGAGGCCCATCTGAATTCCCTAAGTATTTGAAGGGCTTTATGCCCCAAGCCTGTGGCTGTTCCCTACACAACTGATATTTTTCATTGTACCTCACCTTCCACATTTAAATTTTTTTTTTTTAGTTGTAGATGGACACAAATAAATACATTATTATTTTTTTAAATGTGGTGCCCCACATATGCTTGCTAGGCAAGTGCTCTACCACTGAGCAACAATCCTGGCCCCACCTTCCACATTTTTTAAAGCCCATGTGAGAAATGCATTTTTAAACTAAATTAATAAAACTGAATTTCTTGGCACTTCTTGGGCTTGCTACAGAAGTTCTGAGATGGCCAGGTTGGAAGGACCTGCTACTTCACCCTGAGACAGGGCAAAATGAGCTCCCATCCCAGCCCTCGAGATTAGCTATCAGAAGACATGGCCAGTCACTTGGCAAAAGTGTGGAGACTCTGGCTTCAGATAGCCCAGGCTCTATAGCTCTTCTAGTCTAAAGTTCTTCAGAGTCTCTGGCTATTTCACCAGCCTGACCTGGGCTACTCACAGCTTCTCTGCCCACTGGCACAGGGGAAGAGCTTTTTATCTCAGGATCTCTTGGCATATTGTCACCCAAGGTCCCCAATCTCTCTCTCAGGGGCTGCAGCCCAGACCCTGCACACAAAGGTCCCCTTTTATATTGTCTCTGCTTCTATATACCTGGGAAGAAGCCATCCCCTTAAGCTTGAGGATGAATTCTTGGGAGTCAGGAGGAATTATCAGCAGGGTTACTGATCCAAGGATTTATTATATAAGAAGTGGCTGATCCTTGTTTCAGGTTTGGGGGGCAGAAATGAGGACTTCCCAAAACTTTCCATAAACAAAACACCATCCTCAGTTTGGTGGAGGCTGAAGCACAAGTAACAAGGACCTCACTTGGAAGGGAGAAAAGGTGAGCTTTAGTCGGGCATCTTGAAGGGGCAGGTGGCCAGCAGGGTCTCGCCTCTCAAGGAAGTCACAGCTGGAGAACAGAAAGGGCCTGTGAGGACCTGGTGCAGGTAGGACTTCCACCTCCACCTCCATCCCCACCTTGCTGCTTTGCTTACAGGACAGCTTCCTGAACTGGCAGTGATGTGTGCAGCCAGCAGTCCACATGGCTGCCATGGGCCTCGTACAGCCTCAGGACCAGTGTGTGGCTCTGGGAGCTGGTCTCAGTCTGGGGAGAGAGGCAGGTGGTAGGAGAGGTTGAGGGTGTGCCCAGTCAGGAACCCCACCCCCAGACCATGCTGCTCCTTGCCTGCTTGACAGTCTCCAATACGACTGCTGGTGATGATAGGGAAAAGGCACTCCAGGTGGCAGCAGGAGCAGGGCCTGGTGCCAGAAGTGCCAATAAGGGGAAGTTGAGGTTGTAGGCAGCAGGTATAACACCAGCATCCTGGAAGGAGCCTGGGACATGACCAGAAAGAGAGGCATGGTGGAAAACGGGCTCCCCCCATGCCTCCAGAGGGTGCTGGGGGCCAGGCCCCAGGGTTTAACCCAATGACTGCTGCAAGCGCAGAGAAGGGCAGAGGTGTCTAGGGCCCAAGGAGAACCCCAGTATCCCCAGAACTCACCCTTGTGAGGCATCAGTGCGTAGGTGAACTCATGGCGCCCCATGTCAGCAGTGGTGTCTGGGGCCTTAGGTGCCCGCAAGCTGGGGTGGGAAAATATGGACCCAGCTAGAGCTGCTGGAGTTCCATCCTGGGAAGGCCCACACCCCATGCCAGTCTTTGGTGTGGTAGGCACACCACTCACAGTGAAAGGCTGAGGACACTGCCTTGTACTGATGCGCCATACTTGCTGTCATTGAGCAGAGCTAGCCCAAAGCCGTGCTCTGACAGATCCATCCAGCGGTGGGCCCACACCTGAAAGGCAGATTCACTTGGTAGCCCCATTCCCTTCTTTGTGCGCTAGTCTTCAGAGCTTCTGTCACTTGGGTGACAGCAAGCTTTGGAACCCATGATTGAATTCTAGCTCCCACTCAAGGAGACCCCGGGCATACCACCCAACCTGCCTCAGCCTCTGTTTCCTCCTCTGTGAAGTGGGAATAAATGGTCATGAGTATCAAACTAAATTTAAAGCATTAGCACAATGCCCGACACATTAGGAGGCAGAAAATATTGGCCATCTTCCTCGTCCTCTCCTATACCACACAACTAGTCTCCTCAGAGGATCAAAGCCCCTCCTTTTCCCTCCTTCCCCATTTCGGACCTCAAATCGAGCCCAGTCCCAAGAAGTGTTGTAGTGGGTGGGCCGCTGCAGGTGCCCAAACTGGATCTCATAAGTAGCCTGGGGGCTCCGCACTCGGGCAGGGAACTCCACCTTTAGAAACTTGTGGACCTCATTCCAATGTACCTAGGAGTAGGGGAGAGAAGGGAACAGGGAAGGGAGGGACACACATTGGTTGGGGTTGGCCCCCCCTTACCAGTTACACTTGGGAAAGATAGGCACACCCTGCCCCTGCTACCTCGGTGTGGAAGCGGACATAGGGGCAGCCAACATCCAGGACAACCTCCTGGCTAAGCCGACTATTGGGGCTGATCTGTAGCAGGAACCAGGCACTGCCCCGAAGGCCACCCTCACTGCCAACTGCCAGGGTCCCTGGTTGGCCTAGGACAGGTTTCCTGTGGGATGAGATGGGAGGCACTAAGCTAGGGCAGCCAGTATCTCCCCAGCTCCCCACATTGTCTCTAGTCCTGCCCGGCTTATACCGTGTCTCTAGGTGGTAGTCCATGACATCCCATGCATCCCAGTACAAGGGGACATCATCAAACAGCACAAACTGGTTCCCAAGAGCACCCTCAGCAATGGCCTCCCTGGAAGGACATGGGGATTGGTGTTTTACAACTCTATGACCTTGCTTTCTCCAGTTGCACTTGGTGGGGTAGGAGCAGGTAAGGAGACCCAGGGGTCAGGGACTCCTAGCCTGGCTGATGCTATTCTTTGTGTGGGTCCCAACCCAGAGACACTGGTGGACTGCTATGGGCAGTGTTGTGGCCAAGGGACAAAAAGAACAGGATCTGGGATCCACTTGCCAGGCACAAGGAAAGGACAGTGAGGAGTTGGCACCTGCCAGAGGCCACCAGGACCAGAGATGTCAGGCGGCCAGTTGGATCCAGGCTCACTCGGATGATGCCATTGTCCAGAGTCACGGAACCATCAGTCTTGAGTGGGAGGGGGCCTTGAGGCTGTGTCTATAAAGGCTTCCTACAACCAACAGCTGCCCCAGCTCCCCCCCAGCCCTGCTGGGGCTGTGTACTGCTCCACCCCCTTGTTCCAGGATAGGGAACTCAGAACACCCAAGTCATTAGGCAGTATCCCAGGCCAGCTCCTACCCCACCAAGAACCACCAGGACTCACCTCTTGTACCACAAACACAGGCTGCTGGGGCAGCAAGGGCTGCGGTAAGGTGGGGGTCGGAGCAGAAGCATAGCCCATGCTGGGCACTGTCACCAGGGCTGGGAATGAGGCCTGGGTATCAGTGCAGCCTCCCTAACCTTCCACAAACCTTGCTCAGGTAGGGGTGGGGGTAATGAAGGATGTGGCTACTACTCCCCAGCCTGACACACTCCAAGGCAGAGATCCCCAGGGGAGGGTCCCTGCCTTGATCTGTCTGGCCTTGGTCTCTTCTGACACAGTAGCAGTCCACCTCTCAGCTCATACCTAGACAGTGGGCCCCTCCAGGCTTGGGCAAGGACAACACTTCGGTGCGCTTCCAGGGCAGTGTGTTGACAATGAGGAGGCCCTCGGGACCTGGCTCCCCAGCACACAGGGCTGCAGCTGCAGCACTGAGCAGCGTATTGCCATGGGAACGGATATCTGAGGAGAGACTGGCTGGTCATAGGGGGAGGGGCAGTGCATCTGAGATGACCTGAGTGTCCTCAAAGGACACTGTGCTCAGACCTGGGTTGGAGAGAGTAGCAGGACCGTTGTCAGCCTCACCTTCATAGTGGCTCATGGCATCCTCTGCCACCAACTGGATGCAGCTTCCAGTGACCACATCATGGAACTGGTTCAGAAGTAAGAGCCTGCAGGGGCCCAGGGTAGGGAGGGGAAAGGCTGGAGAAGGGGAAGTTAGGAGGGGCAGCCTTAGAGATGTCTGTGGTGAGAGGTCAGGTAGGCACTGGTGGGTAGATGCTAGGCTGACCTCCAGAGGTGCTGTAGCTGTGCTGCTGGGTATAGGAACTGGGCACTGCGGGCCAGGGCTAGGCTGCTGAGCAACTCCACATCATGTAGGATCCGTTCACATTCTCGGTTCCCCTTCTTGATCTGTGCCCAGGTGGAGGGATCAGTCTGGAATCTGCTCAAGCATCCCAGGACACCTTCCAAAGCCCTTCCTTGCTCAGAACTCCTGATGGCTCCCCAGGGACTGCCAGATAAGGCCGCATGTGGGCAACCTGCCCTAAGTGCTCTCCTCTGCTCCCCTCCACCCAAACCTTCCTCTTCTACAGAGACTGTCCTGCCTCCTGCAAGCTTTCCTGAAGACCAAGTTCTTATACTTCTCGCCTCCAAGCCTCTTGTTGGAACAGGGGCTCTGTCCCTTCCCTCCCTTGCCCTCTGCAGACCTATGGCAGACCAGCAGCCTGACCCTGACCTGGGCATGCGTGGTGTAAGTGCCGTTGTGCAGCTCCAGGAAGAGCTCCCCGACCCATGTGCACAGCTGTTCTGAGTCACTCTCCAGTGCCTCGAAGAGCTGCCCTGGAGAAGACAGCTGCACCCTGAGGGAGACCACAAGCTTGGGCCTCCCTGCCAGGGGCCACAAAGCTCAGCCTTCCTCTACTCCAAGAGATAAAGAGTCAAGCCCCGACAGGGAAGCCATTCTAGAAAGCCTCCCTGCCCATACAGTACTGGACTGGATACCTGGGAGAGTTGCATACTGTGGTGGGTTTGAATTCCTTCCCACCCTCAGCATTTCTCCTCCCTATTTCCAAGTAGGAGTTGGGGAAGGGGGCAGGATTAGAGCAGGATAAGGTCTGTCCAGTGGCAGGGGGGCATGTATGAGCAGAAGAAAGGCAACAGGTAAGGGCTAAGAGTAGGGCTTCGTGACAGCCAAGGGCTACTAACGGCCCAGGCCTGACCTGGGCAGTCCGTCAGTATTGCCCAGCCTCTTCAAGCGGTCCAGCATGGTCTGAGTGGGGCCACCACCCCCATCCCCAAAGCCGAAGAGGAAGGCACTGTGGTTGGTCCGCCCTTTGTCCCGATTGTTGGTCACAGTCTTCAGCACCTGGAGAGGTGGGAGAAGGTCAATGTGGGTCAGCCTAGGATGGGATAGCCAGAATTCTCCAAT